GATGTGGGTCTGTTTTACACTGATGTGGAGGGGCTTTCAGAGGGTTTTAAACCCTGAGAGTCATGCCCTGTAGCTGTAAGATTCATTTTAAGATTCCTTTACTTCTATATTTTCTATTCTCATTCTGAAACTTTCTAGGACTGGAAGTCTGATTTATTTTCCCTTGCACATAACTCCTTTTTGTTCTACTCTTGTGCCTTTCATCTGTGCTGTGGAATTTTAATTGTCTTTTTCTCCAGCTATTCTTTAAAGTACCCTGAATTTTTTCACAGTAACCATATTTTCCCAATCTGTCTGCAGCTATTCATAATACTTTCTTTCTATTTTACCAGGCTAACCATCTTCCATAGTCGTCTCTTTCTCCAAGTTGTTCTTTTTCTTCTTTGCACTTTATCTTTGAGCTATCTGGGAAACCGTGGTCCTCTGTTAACTATTTCTAAAGAATTTACTGAGCAGCTTACCAGAAGTTCTGAGCATGCATGTGAGGCTGTCGTGTCTGGGTTTCTCTGTGAGGTGACCTGACTGGGCCATGTTATTAGAAACATTTCAGTCTTCCAGCTCTTTCGCTGGGGCAAGCACATTCTGAAGTGGATTTCGGTCTCTTGCTTAGCGGGTGAAGGCCATCTATCCCTAGAATTCTGAGAACCAAAATTTTATCAGCAAATCTGCTGCCGTTGTGCTTCCTCTGACAGCCGGCTACCCTCCAGGACAGAGTGGACCTGCCCCATCGGATCCGCAGGGCTATCATCTGTACAGGAGCTCTGCGGCCGTGGCAGGTTGCTGGCTGGACGCTCAGCAGTGGGAAACCAGCGGCAGCTCCATGGAGAAACTTTGAGGCTGTTTGTGCCCATAAAGAAAGACTTCTCGCCTTAGAGACGTGCCGAGACCGTTTTATTCTGTCCTCGAGCTTTGCCGCGAGTCTGAATTCGACTCAGTGGCAGTGGGTGGGTGTAGTCTTTATGGAAACAGATGACCAACATCTTTCTTCCTCAAGTGACTGCTGGGTTCATGCTGTCCTTCTTTCTGCCTAGCAGCCAGAGGCTACCCCACGGCACCAGGAAGCAAGGAGCAAAGAGAGGTGACACGGCGCGACAGTCAAAATGTACAGTTCCACCATATTTCTTTTCTTCTTCTCCTTTATGTGTATATAACTTACTTATTTACCATGGTCCAAAAATCAAGACAAATCTACGGCTATTAATTAATTATTGCTACCTATTTCTAAGCAAGGCTTTTTAGCATGGTTGCCTTAAAAGGCAATATTTTAAAAATCATTTTATTGGAGGCTCATACAACTCTTATCACAATCCATCCATCCATTCATCCATTGTGTCAAGCACATTTGTTGCCATCATCATTCTCAAAACATTTATTTTCTATATGACATTCAACTGGGCCTGTTTCCATTCATTTAGAGACCATTTCTTGGGGGCAGGAGGTGGGGGACGGGACATTAAAACCTCTTTTTTTACTGGAGTGGGGACTAGCTGAATTTTCTCTATTCACAGGGACAAGAGAAGCTTGAGATCTAATTGCTTACAAGTTGGGCTACTGACCACACGATCAGCAGCTTGGAATCACCACCTGGAGAAAGACAGCATTCTGCCCCCATAAAGTCTCCAGTCTCAGAAACCCAGAGGGCTCCTCCCGTCCTATGAGGTTCATGGGTTGGAATCGCGCCATGGCAGTGAATTTGGTTGGTTGGTTTAGACCAGCTCTCAAATACCCGATCTTAGCTCCAATTCCAGAAGTACGGGTGGCACCCCATTCCTGAGACCTTTGGGGATGTTGTAGGGGGCACAGTGTGCTACACAGCGGGCTGCTAAACATAAGGTCAGCATTTTGAACCCACCAGCTGCTGCCAGGGCAAGAGATGGAGCTTTCTGCTCTCAAAGATTTACAGCCGTGGAAACCCCTCCCGGCCGTGCTGTCTTCTAAGGTCAACTCAATCGCAGTAAGTTTGGGATTTTCTTGGTTTTGTTTTTGAGGTCAGTTCTTGACTTGAAGCTTCCGAATTTGGTGACCGCTCTTAGGTTTTCTCCACAGGTTTCTAGCCAAAGGTGTCAGGGGCCTCCACTTTAGTAGAAATTGAATAAGTTGTAAAATGAGTTTTGTGCCATCTACGATCTTTACCTACAAGCTTCTGTTCTATAAAAGTCCTTGCGTTTAATTTTTGTTTGTTAATAACTTGGTTTGCCAAGTGTCTTTAGTTGCCAGTGGAGACCTGTCTCAGTTTACCAGGGTCACGTTCTTGTGCTCCTCGATGTGCCAAACAGAAGGCTTTTTGACAGTTCTGCTCCATCAACTCTAGACACATCATTTTCCCCACGCACACGCTTGCCTCTCCGTTCCCCATTCCCGTAATTCTCACTAGTTCCAACCTTTTCTGAAGGTTTGGTTCACATCACAGGCTAGAGTGCAATCGTGCCTTTTATATGTGCTGCGAAACCAGAATTTGTGACTCGCTATATTGGCGGCAATTCAGTGTTTAACCCAAGCGCCCCTTAAACATAGCACCAGCATGGTGTTAGTCACTCGGGTTGTTAGGGCCTTCCAGTTGATTGTTGACTCCCAGGGACCCCCTGTAAGGCGGCAGACCTGCCCAGAAGGGGATCGAGACCGTGATGCTTACAAACGGGCGCTGATCCCCACATCTTTCCCCCAGAGCTGCTGCGAGGCGGGGCCACACCGCCAACCTTCCAGCTACCAGCAGAGTGCTGTGTCATGGGCCACCATTAATCAACTAATATCGACAGAGTATTGACTAAAACGCAGAGCTTTATTCCGATTTCCCCGTCTTCCTCATGTCCTTTCAAGACTCTATCTGGGACAACACCTTCCCTTGATTTAGTCATTGTCTCATTAGGTTCCCCTGGCCGGTTACAGTGTAGCAGACTTGCCTTGGTTTCTGAAAGGTGTTTTGTAGGCTTGTCCCTCAGTTGCGATTGATGTTTCGCATGATTAGACTGGGCCATGGGCTTAGTGGGTAACTGAGGGGAAGATATCGGAGGAAACAGGCAATTCTCTGGTATCTGTGGGACCTGTGGTCAACGTGGCCTATCCCCGTTGATACGCCCTTTCATCATCTGGCTAACGTAATGTTCGGCAAGATTTCCCACTGTGGTCACTCTGCCCCCACCTTTCCAGATTGGACTCACCATCCTCTCTGCATTTGCGAAGTCACACTCCATTCCTTGAAGGCGAGGGAGCTACAATGAATACAAGCCTCTTTAGAGCTCTTTCAGCCATTTAAAGATTCAATTATTTACATGAACCATGAATATTTATTTTACATTTTGACTACAACTCCATTTCTTCTGGCCTGCATGACACCCTTACCACTGTGCCCACTTGAGTCTGGGCATTTCCTTACTTTCTGGCACTGCAAGGTGTTTGATCTCGTCTTAGAAGCAGCCGCCCCTCCCCCACCGCCTCCCCCAAAGTGCTGGTTTCATTTTATTGGAGGAATGTTATGAGCCAAGAGGTAGGCCCTGGGTATGGTTTTCACTGTTGGGCGGTAAAAATAAAAAATTTCAAGGGTTCAGTCTTTAAAAGATGCAGTTTTGTTTGCCTCGGATATCGCCATACTAGCAAATTACAGTATTATTTTCAGCTAATGATTTTGATAGTGCTGGCAGTGTCTTGTCATGACTAGAATAAATGTCAGTATCCATGAATCCTGTCTCTTCTTGTACTTGTAACGAAAAAAAGTCTCATCTCTCAAAGGTAGGTATTGGGGGTTCAATGTGGCTCTTAAGAAAACTTCTACAGGGACCAGCACATATCCAAGGCAAAAGGTAGACACTGGGAGTTGCATGGACAGTAAAAGACAATGACACGTATACACAATCTCACAAGAATAACAATAGGTAGGCATGCAAGTTGAGCCGATTAGGGAAGGCACATGGGGGTGTGCCCATGAGTACACATAGGTATGACAGAAGGTATTTCTACCTGCGTACAAGGGGACTTCAAAGAGTTTGTGGTAAAATTGCATGGTATTTTCCTACTTTCCCATCAGCTTTCTGAAACCCCTTTGTATTTGCGTCTGCTGCAAATATATCCATGGATATAGTACAGCACACATTGGCAAAGTCCTAAACACATCTTACAATAAGCAAATACTTTGGGTAGTGAGTCATTGGCCTTGGGGGCTTAGGATTAAGTTAACTGGCACAACACAGCTCACAAAAATATCTTACTTTGGGAACTTATTAATAGACTCTTTAAATTTAAAATTTGGTGGGGAGAGTGGGGGGGAAATGAAGAGCTGATATTAAGGGTTCAAGTAGAAAGCAAATGTTTTGAGATGTGCTTGACACAATGGATGTATGGATTGTGATAACAATCGTAGGAGCCCCAATAAAATGATTTTTTAAATGTTTTTTAATTGAGTGTGACATCTAAGATACAACTATTGGTATTATCTCCCCAACTGAAGAAAAAAAAAAATAGGATCACAAGAGAATGCCCTGGCTGTAGGAGAAATGTAACACAAAAATAATTAATAAGGCCATACTTACTGGTCTGATAAGGCACTAGTGGAGCACCCCTGTGGCTCTCAGGCACCCTTTAAGCCTGGAATTGAACCCATCAAGCAGGGATCAATTTCCAGAGAAGTTAACTAAAATGAACACCAGGGAGGAGTGGACTCCTCACAACAGCCAACCACAGCAAACACGAATCACTTTCCCCAAAACAAAGGCTCAGAAGCAGAAAAGGGCAGGAAAGAGGAGCGAAAACTGGGAACCCCAGGAGGCAATGCGAGAGCTGTGGGATCGTGACCACTTACCTCAAAACAAAAATGTAGATATAAACTGCTGAGTGGAGAATAACCTTTTAACCCAAACTCCACTAGAAGCACAACAGAAAGGGTAATGTCTGAGAACTGGGTTACTTTAACTGCCCGGATCCAATATTCACGTCTCAGTAACTGCTATGGGGCGGAATTTGCTGTTCTCCACACTCCAGGTTAAAAAGAACGGAAGGCAAAACATGAATTCTTTTAGGCACTTTTTATTTTCCAAAAAAAATTGTCGTTAATATATAAACATCTCATTCTTTCAAAAAATTCTACAACTATACAGCTGTTTGCCCCATTATTTGCATAGGAAATAACCACAATACAAAAATAAGAGGGAAAAGAAGCAAAACAGCAACTGATTTATGCTTTTTATGTATGTATGTTTCCATGTATAAACATCTGAAGCCTTACAAAATTATTTACACCATTTTTCAACTATTTACACAGGTTTTAAGAGCAACTCTCTAACAAACAAAACTATAATTTATCAAGTTATGAAAATTGTTTTCTAAAAAAACTTACTATATTACCACAAAATAAATAAAGATAAACAATATTTTAAAGACAAAATTAAAATTTAATTTTCAATTAAGACCCCTTTTGGCATTTTGCTTCTGAATCCTGCCCTTTGGTTAACAGCATCAGCATCACATTACTAGTTTATATTGCATATATGTTACACTTGCTTCCTTAAGAGTTTTCAACATGTCATTCATATTTAAAGGCAGACACTGAGTCAGTATTAACAATAGATTAGCACTGTAATTTAGGTAAAATTACTGTGTCTCACTGTATATCACATGCAAAATCCATATAAACTGGCCTTGCACCAACAGTATCACACGAGCACATGTTTCGGTACATGAAAACAGCATCGTGAGTCCAACAATACCATGTGAAAACTAAGTCGTAAATCCTTTTTTTTTTTTTTCAAAAAATGATACTGTGTAGCTTATTGTAAGAGGTTTAAACTTTTTTTGTATTGTAACCTTAAGCTCGAGTTCACAATTCACAAAATGTCTTTACTTAAATAAAAACAATCTTCTTTTGATCAGTGCATGAAATTGTCTTACGTTCATTTTGAATGATTCTGTCCCCCACCCTAAAGAGATGAATTTGGTTAACATTCTGAGTGGCATCTTACCACAAATTCTAAGCGTAAATATACTCATGCTCATTTTCAAATGAATTACTATTATGATTTCCCCCAAAATAATCCTAGAAAACTTGTAATAAACCTATAAAGCTGATTTGCATATTTACAAAATTTCAAATAGCAAAATATGCAACTCATATTAAAAACAAACAAACATTTGTTCAATGGCTATTTGTGAATTGCCACATACACTCGGCACCTCAAAGGAATTATTCTTAATATTGAAAAGAGTACCCCCTGCCAAGTAAAATCTTGACATACAGACTTCCCTCCTCCCTCTTCCTATACCTGCCAACTGATTGGCTTACTAAGACACCGCCATATTAAATGATGGTGCTTAGGTAAAACACTGCACACGGCCCCCTGCCTTTCTCCCCCCCTCCTCCCTCTGCTGCACGGTGAGATGGGGCTGCCTGTCATGAGATGAAATCTGCTCGAGGAAAGCCAGACACATTACAGCAAGCATTCCAGATTCTTAGAAGGACCAAACACTTTGGTATTAATACAATGTATTCTCCCTGTTTTCTCAAATATACAAAATATACATTTCCAGTTTTTTTTTCTTTATATATATAGTTTGTAGTTTAAATTTTGCCAGATTAACTGCATAACGTCAGTATAGATTGCATAGGCATGGGGCACCCCCTCAGGCAGGAGGTCTCAATTCTGGTGCCTCTTCATGTGCAGGGCCAGGTGGTCGGAGCGGGAGAAGCTGCGGTTGCACACAGCGCACTGGAAGGGCTTCGCCCCCGTGTGCTTCCGGTAGTGGCGGGTCAGCTCGTCTGACCGGGCGAACCTCCAGTCACAGCCATCCCAGGTGCACTTGTATGGCTTTTCACCTGTGGCAATGAATGAACAAAGAGGAGGTTGAGGACGCCAATTCTAACGAAATGTATTACAAATAAATACTGTCGTCTCCCCCTCCCCCACCCCCTCCCCCCAAGGAATTAGGAGAAATTTAAAAGTCATGGTTCAAGAGTGGGGGGCAAGATAATGAATTACATTCAGGACTAAATAATATTAAGCACTTTCCAAGCCCCTGAAGTGAAGAGGTTGCCATCACATAGAACGATCGTGTGTCCAGCTACGTGATGAAAAAAGCATCTCGTGTACCTCTGTTGGACTGAGCTGGCTGCTTGAAAGGAACCAGTGCTCTTTATTTTAAGGTGTACTACTATTGCACTTAGTGTCCAAAAATGACTTGGTAAGCTTGGGTAGTTATGTCATCACTAGCTAAATACAATTTCTGTTATCAACAAGCTAATTAAATTATGATGAGGCTAATGGTTAGAAGATGGCCAGTGGGAGAAAAATAATTAGTGCCCACCCCAGAGGAGCGGCTTGGATCATCTAGACAATGAAATTAATGTACCATAATCACCATGTTTTATCTGAAACTAGTCCTGGATATTTCAAAAGTCAGCCAAGCAGAAGCTTCCAGCAAAGAAATCACTTCAAACACAAAGGTCCCTAAAACACCCACTCTTTTCTGACTCCCACTAGCAATACAAGCCCACAAGCTATTCAATTGGAATAAAAAAGAAATCGGAAATATGAACTGATGAAGTTTATTGCTTCATGCTTTGAGGAGCTTTTATGTGATGGATGAAATTAACCAAGATAAATCAATTAACCAAAATTCCTTACTGATAAAAAAGTCAACTACTGGTTAACTTTGCAAAGTCTTAAAACTGTAATTCTAACATCTGCTTACTACTTCTTTGCAGTGTTGTACCAAAAAGATAAGGTCCATCCCATAAGTTACTTGTGCCATATGTATGCTATATCCTAGCTAAGTTACTTGTGCCATATGTATGCTATATCCTAGCTAAGTTACTTGTGCCATATGTATGCTATATCCTAGATAAGTTACTTGCCATGTGTCCCTTATGTCCTAGATAAGACAGTCGGGACAGGACAGCAAAAACAAAAATGTCTGTCCTCATGGAATATAAAATGTAGGACCTAACAAGACAATAACTATTCTATTAACTTCCTCTATACTTTCACCGCTCTTGTCCTACAGGGAACTGATACTCGAGGACCTCGAAATTTGCATCATCCCTTGTTTTCCCAAAGTTTCCTAGCTTATCTTTCAAAACCACTCAATATTTATAATACAGTCTTAACTTACACTGCTTTGGAATTAATTAATCCTATATAATCATGGCCATATGTCCTCTAAATAAATCCCAGACCTCCCACTAAGCATTAATTCCTGTGATCTTTTTAAAATAATTTTCAAAGAATCTGTGTTGGGGCGGGGGGCTGTTTTTTGTCATGGGTGGGGAGGAAGCTTGACATGTGACCTCTTACACCCTCAAGATTTCTAAATGTCACAATATTTAAAGCTGTTGGGGGTCTGGGTTTTTTTTTTTAATTGTTTTCTTCATCCAGGAAAGAGCCTCAACGTTGCTTTGAACAATTACTTCTCCTATAATATGAACCATAGAGAAAGCCACCCTACCTCTCTGCTTGTTTGAACCTTATATTCCATGTTTATGGTTATTCAGCTGAGTCTAAATTCTCAGAAAATACTGTCTACATCAAGTGAAATTTCTATAAAATGTGCTTCATTTAGTTTTGCTGTCCAGATACACACCGAGTCTTGAAATTCCATAAGCATACCTTACACACTCTATTCTAATAGAGTATAAAGGGGATTTCAAAGGTTGTTGGAAACATGGAAAAGGTAATTGTAGCACTGAATTAGAAGCCATGGAATTGGAGAATGGTTTGTGTATATTTTTTGCCACAATTAGAAAAAAAATTACATGAACAATGAGTACTAGGAAGAAGAAATGTCCTAAAACTGAATGTGGTGATAAATTTACAACTCTTCTTGGTATGATTGAATTGTATATCATGCAGATGAAATGCTAATAAAACTGTATTTGGGGGGGGGGGAATTCTATTAACTTTCCCTAGTTAGCTATATACATTGTCTAACATATATTTTTAAATTTAAGTAATCATTTTATTTGGCACTCTTACAGATATAAAATCCCTTGCTTCAATTAGATCAAGCACAATTGTACAACTTCCATAAGCTTTTTGAAGCTCCATCATACACAGAAATTGTGAATTATTTTTGAATAAGCTTGTTTCCCCGAAGCTGATACCGTTTTAAGCAACAGAGAAATAATGATTTCATTGATAATTGCATAAAGCGTTATTAATAGAAACATTAATATTACCACTTGTACTAACAGAATCTCCTAATGGCAACGAGTCAACAGGGCAGGGGCTCCAACTATCACTCTTGAAAATCAAACTGAAAAACAATTTTTACACAGGAGTATTTGTGTTTTTCCGTAGTTAAAAAACAAACCACAAGCAACAAAACAAACATGTGGGCTAAATATTTTGCCATCATTTAATGAAAAGAGAAAGGTTATTTCTGATGTCTGAGGCAAGGCAAGAAGACAGTTCCTGAAGTGCCTCAATTTCAAAAGAAATCACTCTAGTCTTCTGAGTTGTTTAATTAAAGTGCACCAGAATGAAATTTTCAAGAGTTCATGTAATAAATAAGGGACACTAGACATTTTGTTCAGTACTTTTATGGCTATGAAGCAATAAGCGACACCAACAGTTTTTTTAAAGTTTACTGATTGGTGTTAACACCACAGTAGCCGTTAAAGTTCCTAAAACATTTAGGTTTGCTCCCAATTTATGCATGTCTATAGGCTGTCCAGCCAAGAATACTTAGAGTACGTGAAATTGCAGCTACTGGGGCCAAGTCTTACTATGAAAGCAAGGACAACTACTTCCCATTTGGGGCAGTTTCTATGGGATTTGTTCAGGTGTCGACCCGGCTCAAGCCAAACATCGTAGAGGAAGCTGGTACCCAACTTTGGGCCAAATAGTAGGCTCAAGCCTTTCTTCCTTAGCCAGAAACACTATGCAAAGTACTTCTGGGAAACCAAAGTGACTTCCTCTAAGTTTTATCTTTCAGCAGGACAGAGCTTTCAAAAGTTTAATTGGATTTTTACAGAACCTCTTTCCAATACCACCAATTTAAAATATTTAGTTAAGTTCTTTCAACATCAACTGTATTTTTTAAGTTCTCACACTGTTCATGTGAAACTTTCCAAAGGCAAAGAGAACAAAAAGGTGACCACTTGTACAGCACGAAAAACAAGCTTTGATAGTTATCGCAAATAAAGCACCCACTTTCTCCGTCTGTTTTAAAATTAGGAGGCTATTTTGCTAAGAATGCCTATCATTGGTGATGTTGGGAGGAGGGGAGTTCAAGGTCAACAGAATCCATATGAATAATGTCACTGGTATAATTAACAGAACGAGAGGAACATTACCAGTAAAAAGAAGGAACAAGCACAAAGCTTTGCGCACATAGGCCAGCACTGGCACTTATCATCCCTTCATCCTTACAACAACCCCGTAGTTGGAAGCAAAAACAATGAGCTCTACATTAAGGATTCGGACCTGCCACTTTCCTTAATGTCCTACTTAAATCTTCCATTAGCAAACACTAATATGCTCTCTGTGAATGATTTAAGGAACACATAAATAGTGTTCAAATTTATTTAAAGATTATAAAGCCACTTGTGAAGGTCAGCTAAAGAACAGCTTAATGGGCTCACAGCAGACCTTAACCGCCCCCCCCACCCCAAGACAGTTTGAAACATGGGCCCCACCCAGACAGAAGCAGTCCTCTGGTATGGCAGACCCACCGTACAAGACTGGTAGGTCCCCCAAACCACAGCTGAGTTCACTGTCAGTCACAATAGCAGTTAAGAGCAACCCTTTCCCCCAGGCTAAGTGTCTTTCAGGAGGCTACCAGTATGGAGTAAAAGCCTGCAAAACTCTCAAGACTAAAAAAAATTATCTCCACCCCCCCCCCCAGAGCGTCGTGTAGCCCCCCCCCAACAACCCACCGATGAATACATTTAAGAAATGTCATTTGAACCCATTCACAATGGAATGGGAGGTTTCTCTGCTCTACTGAACATACTCAATAGATTCATAGCAAGGCCCGTTCCTAGACTGTTCCAGGTAGATTCTTCTTACAAAAGGGGAAAGGGGAAAAAAACCTGCTGGTGAAAAATGATTCTCCTAGTCATAGTAGGTCACCTTAATAAAGTTTACAGTAAATTTACACATCACTTTTGTGATGGTTAGACAAGCCAATCATTTTATCTGACCAAAGATTAAAAACTAAAACAAACAAACACAACCGAATTAAAGCTGATGGTTAGTAAACAAAGGAGTGCATGACCTGAAATAAACGCCCTTGCCACATCAACAAGACTTCCTATCTGGCCGAAGAAATTTAAGATCTATATGCTGTTCTGAGAAACAATGTACACTTTGGGAAAAAATTATTTTAATAGCTAATCCGTAATCTAATCTTAGAATTTAAGAGTCCTTGAGATTCAAAAATGAGCTCTGATTTCATGAGGAAAAAATTTTCATGCAATTCAATTAGATCCCCTGCCCCAACCATTACATATTTATGAAACTTGGGAGTTAAACGTAGGAAAGACTTATAACAAGATATGAAAGCCATGGGAAAATATTTACACGTATAAGACAACAGATAAAGCGGGAGGTCAATTTGGGCCGATTCTTATTTTTCTTTATCTAAGTCAGTAGTTTTCCGTTTCAAAACGTTTCCATCTGACTCACCATGCCCCTTCCAGAAAACCTCTGAACAGTCCACAAGCAAGCGGTCATCCCACTTCTCTGCATGCCCATCACTTAACTCCATTTTGAACTATTGATTTGCACTTGCACATAGAGTATTGCTTTCTGAAGGCTTCCAATCGCTGTATTTTGTCTCCTTAACCAGCTTTTATGGTTCCTCAAGGGTAGAGAC